TCTTCATGTTCCATAAGATTTTCAATACAACGTTCAATATAACTTAAAGGAGGTATCATTGAATTCTTCTTAATTGTTTCAATAATCTTTTCATCAGTTGAATCGTAAGAGTAAGTTATTTTTTTACTCTTATAAATCTTATTATAAGAAATTACAGGAAATTCCATTTCAAATAATTTTTCTGCTGATATATAGTTCAATAAATTATATGTAGTGTTAAAATAAAGTTCAAATCTATATAATAGAATAAGGAATAAAAAATGGAAAATTTAATAATGTAATTGTTATATATATTATTATTATTATATTAATATATATATACTTACGGAATTTCAGAGTCAACATTATTATTATAATTATCAAAATTATCACTATCATTGTCATCATCTTCATCACCATCACTCAAAATAATAGGATTATTGTAAATACTTCCAGTGGTTTTTTGACATTTCATGTTTATTTAACAAGTTAATTGATTTTTGGGAAATTGTTATAGAAAAAAAATAAAAATAAAAATCCTGAGGATTTTTATGAAAAGAATTATAAAATTTTATATTAACTTTAAACAATTGAAAAAATCAACAAATTATAGCATTAATGTGAACTATTCTAAAAATGCAATAGTAGATTGTGAAAAGAAAATTCTTTTACTCATGAAAAAGGTGAGGTATTTTGCCTTATAATATAGATTTTAACAATTGGAAATTTTAACATTGTAACATGAATGTGAGCTGTAATCAATAAGTCAGTCATGTTAGAGTGGACCCCTGTGATCAACTTATCAAGAGAACCAAGTTATTGAATTTCACATGATTTTTTAAATTTAAAAATTTTAAGATATTTATCTCAAACATTAGAAGGTTGCAAAATCAATCTTTTTATACATATTTCTGAACATAATAAAATTTAATAGGAACACAAATGTGTTTCTTCACAATGACATAAGTGATGATATAAAAATGATGATATAAAAATGAAATAAATGTATTGTTCATAATTAGGCAGAATGTTCTCTAAATTCTTGATGATATAACTGATGAATATATTAATGCATTATTTATGATAAATGAATGATACAATCAATGATACAACTGCCAAGATAATAAAATATTAATGCATTATTCATGATAAATCAAATGATTAAAGCAAAAAAAGTTCTCTTACATCAGATATTTTATTACAAATAATTTTGCAAATGACGAAATATTACAAACAAAAAATTAAATTACACATTACTAAAATTGTAATGATGACCCTTCACATAATGAAATATCACATGAGACTGATTTATTGTGATTTCATTTAATTATACTTGGGCTAAGTGATTTATTGAGTTTACATATGTAGTAGGTTTTTTCAGTTTTTCGCGTAATCTTTTTTGGATTTTCTGCACCTATTAGTCTGTACCACATCAATTAATAATTCTTCCTAAAATAATGAGTTGTTCACTAAGTGCACTTTTGATTTTAATTTGATGTTAACTGTTAACACCCTTGGAACTGTCTGTTAATATTTTAATCTACATTTCTGTGGTTGATAATAATAAATTGATGCATTGTAAACTTTGCTACTAAACAAATTATAATATTAATATTCATGTTCAAGACCTAATGGCTAATACCATGTAAAACATTTTATATATGTACAGTTGCTATTTTTAGTAATTGGTATAAATAATTAAAAGTCAATTATTTATTATTCCCAAACAATAGAAATTGATTGCTATTGATCACTAGCTCTTGAGAAATATCAATAGCATGATCTTCATCATACTAACTAAATAGAAACTAATCAATTCAAAATAAACAAAAAAATTTAATTTTTTTATTATCCACATGGGAAAAAAATTATGCGAACAAATTTCAAAAAAATAAACTTGAAATTTACCACCAACAAAAACAAAAAATTACAGATTTTTTACTATGCTCCCTCCTATGAATTTGCAAGAAAAGAAGCTATCATTACAATGTGTTGAAGTTGTAAAACCTCTGATTTTCAAAAAGGAATTCAAAATTAGCAAATTATTATTGCAAGATAGTTCTGTATGTTCCATCCATAAAGAAAAATATACAGGAGAATCCTACATGTTCCGTCTATAAAGAAAAATATACAGGAGGGTCCGTCTATAAAGAAAATATACAGAAGGTCCTGTATTTAATATGGGTCCTGTATATTTCATCTACAAAAGAAAAAATACAGGAAGGTCCTGTATATTCCGTCTATAAAGAAAATATAGGGAGGGTCCTGTATATTCCGTTTATAAAGAAAATATAGGGAGGGTCCTGTATAGTCCGTTTATAAAGAAAATATAGGGAGAGTCCTGTATAAAAGATGGGTCCGTCCATAAAGAAGATATACAGGAGGGTCCTGTATATTCCGTCCATAAAGAAGATATACAGGAGGGTCCTGTATATTCCGTCCATATAGAAAAAATATACAGGAGGGTCCTGTATAAAATATGGGTTCTATATTCCATCTATAAGTTCTGTATATTTTGTACAAGATGGTTTTGGTTATTTGTATTTTAAGAGTCATTCTTGTGAAGATCAATAATATTAAATTTTGAAGCATTCATTTCATTGTAAAGATAATACAATTTTATTTTTACTTCTTAAACAGTATTATTTTACAGCCCCCCATATCCTACACAACTTCCTCATAATTTGTTAAACCATTGATAATGATGATGACATGATTTTTTTTTTTAAATAATAATAAATTTATATAAAAATTTATTATATTATTCATCACGCACATGAATTAGCAAGGGTTCACGCAGATCATAGGTGCCACTTCCAAATTAGGAAGGTCCTGTATATTCAGCCACAGGACCGGTCCTGTATATAGGATTTTCCTTTTTATAATAGTAAATTGATCGACAATTCTCATTTATTCGCGGATCGTCAATTAAACCTTCTATATTCAGCTACGACTTCCTTATCTACTAGCGGATTTCCAAGAAGGAGCCCGCTCATTGCTACATGGTGCAAACATATTTTCATCTACTTTCAGAGTCACATAGGCCTTTGGTATTATGAACCGTCGAAGAAAAAGCGTTCTGCAGTGGGAATTGATACCTTGAGGCATTTACACGTTAATTTCAAAGTTTGTAGTGATTTTCTGAATGTTTATTTTAGTAATATTTTCATTTGTTGGAAACGTGACCTCAACATTATCATTGTCTATTCTACTGTAAACAATGCCTGTATAGGCCTTCCCTCCACCCACACTCTTGATAAACACAACTGAGGATATAATAGATGGCATTTTTGTAAAAAAAAAAGATTTTTGTTTAAGAAAGAGTGCGAAGCAAATGAAATATTGATTATATATATATTTGTGGTCAGATGATTCATTCAACAAAATCATCCAAAATCTTAATGATTGTCAAGAAACATCAACTAAGCCTTTTTAAAACGCAAAAGAACTGCTTGTTTTTATTCTTATTACAAATCTTTTCTGTCGCCACTATAAATTAAACAAAGCCAAACATATTTATAACAAAATAGATTAGAAATAAAATAATAATTAATAATTAGTAAGTCAAACCTCGTATCGACGATTCTTGTTTCAATGAATTTATAACGTTAAAACGAATTTTAAGATTTTTGCTTCGCATATAAAATTCGTTGAAACGCGATTAGTAATTTTGGTATAACGAATTTTAGGGATTTTCTTATGTGTCCCATAGATTCGTTGAAACGAGGTTTTTAACTGGGAGGCATTCATTTTACCGACAATCATTCTACCGACAACATGCGGTGCGCCATTTAACCTCCACATGATCAAACAACAAATAAAATGCTAAAATGGCGTGCCACGTGTTGTCGGTAAAATGATTGTCGGTAAAGTAATACGTACCTGTTCAGAACCTAATAAACATTTTTTAATAGAAGCACAAATATTGTTAGGACATGGAATCTTGAATTATTTTCATTGAATTTTTAGTCTGTCATGTTCAAAATTCAAGTATATTATATAATTTATTATCCCTTAAACGGTATTTCGGCTATTGATAGCCGAAAATTTTTTTCTGTTATAAAAAACTTTTTCTGAAGGTATTACTTCCTAATACGAAAATGATCTTTGAGATTCGGCTGTTTGATATGTAAATAAAAATTCGGTTGTTGTCCTTGTGGTTTTCGTAAAATCTTCTTTAAAAGTTGGTCGATTGACTATTTTTACTTTACAGATCGTTAAATTGGCCAATAAGAATGCAAGATCGTGATCAAAAATCATTTCGCGTTACCATTAAAGAATACTCTGACCGTTTAAGAGATAGTAAAATCATATCAAATCTATTTTTAGAAAAAAATTTTCCTAGTCCAACTCCCATATATATATACCTCACACAGTTCAAAATTTATTAACCAAACCGGGTCTGGTGCATCAAGTAAACATGTTTTTAAAGTCAATTTGAATATAAAGTCTCGTCGAGTTTGCATTATTAATGAATTTAGGGTGAAAATTTTAAATTAGTGATTTTTGTGAAACTTTGAGCTTAGTAAAAAGGTTCAAAACTCTGTTGAATCATGGATTATGTAAACTTTTGAGCAATTAGTAAAAAATGGCGTCCAAATACTTTTTTCCGGGTAGTTGTATATTTAACAAACGAGAGCGAGTATATATATTGCGTGTGTATATTGCGTGCAAATATTTTAAAAGAAGGTTTGTTATTTAAATTAACAATCAAAAATTGTATTTTTATTTAAATTAACAATCAAAAATTGTATTTTTATTTAAATTAACAATCAAAATTGTATTTTTATTTAAATTATGTTAATATATTAATAATAAATAATAATTATAAAATAAAATATTTTTAAGATATAAATTTGCTCTGTATAACGAACTTTATAATTTAAAAAGTTGTGATTATAAGAAATATCATTTGATTAATATATTTTGCAAATTGTTTCACTTTTTTTAAAAAATCAAAATATAAAAAATACATACATTAAAAACTCATGTATTATTATTATTATAATTAGTATTTTTTGATGTCAGCTGTAGTAGCACCCATTTTAAACTTTGGATTTGGTTCTTCTCTTTTATTATTTCCAGCACAAGTACAGTTGGAGGAAGTTGGGCGGAAGAAGATTGCATTATCACCACAATCTAAACTAAGGTCGTTAATGACTGAAACGAAAAATTCTGAGCTTCCGTCACCATTATCTTTAATATTAAATTCATCAGTGACATCCTTTATTAAATTTCCACACCCATCGATTATTTCAATTGAGTGGCGTTCGGATGAGGGAAGCCCGCCAAAGAATTTGCCAGTGAATTTTATTGATCCATGTTCATTTTGTGAGCCGGTGATTAAGCCACTGAGTTCATTATCGAATTCGGCACTTGCTACGGAACACGAACAGACTTTGTCTTCATTACGCTTTAATAATAAACTTCTTTTGCCAGTGAATTTTATTGATCCATGTTCATTTTGTGAGCCGGTGATTAAGCCACTGAGTTCATTATCGAATTCGGCACTTGCTACGGAACACGAACAGACTTTGTCTTCATTACGCTTTAATAATAAACTTCTAGTGCATATATTGGTAGAAGAAACTGCAGCACTTAGAATAGCGATAATGAAAAATAAAGCATAACCAAAAAAAGATTTTGAAATTAAATGCATGTTTGTATGTTATTTTTATAAATTAAATTGTAAAATTCTAAGGTGGTATTTTTATTATGATTAGTATGAATTTAAATTATTGAATTATTTTTTTTTAAAAAGAAAGAAAGGTATCCTTTTATATAAAATTTTATTTTTATTTTCCTATTATTTTGGTTTTTTTTATTTTTAGATTCTGGTACACAACATAACATATATAGACAATTGGAAAGTTTCGAAATTGTTCCGTATCTAGTGACAGGCGTAAAAATTATTTTGAAAAATGGCCGAGTTATTAAGTACTTAATAACTCTATTGATGATTACTTATTAAGCGTTAAAAAGACAAACGTACAGATCTCTTATTGGTATATACAGTAGCAAAAATTATTTGAATCGTTTAACCAAATATTAATTTGACGAACAAGTTAAATAATTAATTTAGTTTAAGTAATGAGTGTGCATAAAATACAGTGTGCAGAGTGTACATGCTAACCAAATTTGATAATTATTTTTTACCAAATCTGAATTTGGTTAGCACAGCACATTCTGCACACTTAATTCTATACATCGGGATTGATTGAAAATGGATCTTTTGGATTAATGACTCTTGCTCAGAGTGCAACAGTTAATAAGTGGTTATTAACTATCAATAACTCGGAGTTAATAAGTGTAGGGTTAAAAATTCCCATCACTACACGTATCCTTACAAATTTGTGTAACCCCGCTTTTCAATAATAAAATAAGGAACCCGTTTATTGAAAATCAGTATCATACTGGAAAACAATTAAGATACATGACCAATCAACAAGTGCGATTCATATTTTTTAGCACGGTGCTTATTCCGTTTGGTTGTTCCATTCAATTTACACGTAAAAAAGAAAGCTAGCATTTATTTAGCTTTGTACGAATCTATTGGGGTCTCTTTTGAAATAAAATTATTGATTACGCACATGGCTTGATTTATTATTTGTTATTTTTAGGGGTCTGCTAGTTAGCGATTTTAATAGATACATTGCCCTAAAAAAAAAATATGTAATAAAATTATATCAGAGAATCAGATTGAAACATATTGTTATGTAGGCATTAGAGAAATTATCACGATAAAGTAATTATTTTTAATTGATAAAGCTCTAGAAGTTGTAAAAGCATTAATTCTATACGTAAATTTTTTGCATAATTATTATGTATCTGATAATTGGATGTGAATTTGTTTTACATTAATGTTTTAATTTTTATTTATTCAAACAAACTAAATTTATTTAATGATGTATAATTCTTGAGATATGCAATTTTTGTCACCACAATTTTTTTCGTAATGCACTGTATATGAGATTTTTTTGTGGATTATGTCCATTACTGTTTTTGGGAATGACTATTATGAAGAAAAGTAAAGTAAATGGTTCCAAAAAGTCAAGTTGGATATGAAAAGATGACCCATTCTTGTAGTGGAAACATAAATAAAAATAGATTTCCGGTTTATCAAAATTACTAAATATTTGTGTGCACCTACAACGTTCCACCCCATGCGAGAGATTATTTAGTCAAACTGGAGATTTTAAAAAAAACAAACCTTATCCAACTTTTATTCGAAAAGATTGTTTTTTGATTGATAATTTTGATGGAATGTAAATTTAAATTTTTTGTAATCAATGAATAATCATACTAAATGATTGAATTTAATTGATTGAATATAAAAATATTCATTAGTACAACATCTAACCTTATATTCAATCAATTAAATTCAATCATATAGTATGATTATTCATTGATTACAAAAAATTTAAATATAAGGTTTCCTTTATTGATATTTCTTCTTTGTGTTGCATCCTGCGCTTATTGGGAAGATGTTATAGTAGATCTACTATATACATCTTCCCAATAAACACAGAAGAAGAAATATCAATAAAGGAAACCTTATAATTATTGAGATACACAAGTACAACATCATATTGTGGTGTTACAAAAGACTTCGGCTTTCTTAATCACGGAATAGTTGTTATTATTAGCATTGTTATATTTTTGGAATTTTTTTTTTAAGATGTGAATGGTATGCAGGTTATCTCGGCGATTAAAATGCAAGAATTTATATTTATAATTTATATTAATATATTATTAAAAATTTGAAATTCACATCAGGGATCTTCCATTAAAAAAACAAAAAAACCATTTAAAAAATGCCAGAAAAACTAAAAAGGACAATAATGTTACTAATAAACAATGTTAGTGTGATATTACAATCATTTATTATCATTTATTAATCTAATGGTATATTTTCATATCTTCAAGAAGAGATTATTGCAGATGTTCAGGAGAATGTTCCTTCGTTGGGCATAGAGATTCGGGCATTGAAAAATAAAACAATCCGCGAACGTTATATTTCATTTTTGTTATAATATTGTAAATGCATGCATTAAATAAATAAAAAACAGAAAAGGAAATTATTTTTTTTTTATTATTAGCAATTTATTTGTAAGTTTTCCGTAATGCACGGCAATAATTATATTTGTAAAATTAAATGATAATAATAATCATCTCTGTTTTAATATTAATTTTGTCCGGGACGACAAATTGCAAAATTGGTAATTTATATTTTACAAATATTATAAATTCCCAGCGACCTTTTTTCCCAGTAGTTAAATATTTTAAGTATTATTTCCAGCTAGTGTTGGTCGCCAAAACTATTTTGAAGAAGCGAAAGTCAAAACTAAAATTTAAAGTTATATGTCAAAACTAAATCAAAAGTCAAAAGTTTCGACTTATGGTGAAACCTTTTGAATTTCGCACAGTTGCGAAACTCTCTAGTTTTGGAAACCAACATTATTCCAGCCCTGCTATCCGATTAGTCAATTGTCAAAATAATTTATCATGAGTATCTGGACGCATCCATCAGTACTATAAGGTAAAAACAAACCTAAATTTACTTATAATTGTTGAGATATGCATCAATACGAATACGAAATTTCTTTGTGAATCATGTTCATTGACTACAACTATCTTGTACAACCCGGTTTTTTTTATTTGCACATAAACAAAAATCATTGTGGTAGATGTTTTTGGGTTTATGCAACTATGAGGTAAAAACAAACCTAAATTTACTTATAATTGTTGAGATATGCATCAATACAAGTACGAAATTTCTTTGTGAATCATGTTCATTGACTGCCTTTGGGAAACAACTATCTTGTACAATCTGGTTTTTTTTATTTACACAAACAAAATCATTGAAGTAGATGTTTTTGGGTTTATTGAATTTGTTGTACAACATGATAGCACATATAATAACGGTTTATTATATCGTCTTATAACAGTCAAACGCCCTCCCATCACTATTTAATCATTGAAATGATGATATTGGAATTTTTCCGTCCGCCTTCTTTTTTAAGAAAGACCTTACTTTTTTTCAAGCAATCCATTTAATTCATTATTTACGATTTATATATTAATTATTGTTATATAAAAACTTTTTGGCTAATTTGATTTTCATTAATTTACATCCCTTCTTATTAAAATGCTCGTCCACTTATTCAAAAAACCAATGACAGTTGAGCCAAAGTCGATTTTATATATTCGACGTTCTGCTATTGTTGTGTCAATTGTAATATTAATTATTTTTTTTGTGGTGTTGGTGATGAAGCTGGATGATGAACAGCCTACTATAGCTATCACATATTCGAAAGGAAGTCTTGATGATCGTGATAGCCTACCCGCACCAGGTAAAGATAGTTTGAGTTAAAAAATAATTCACCACAATCAAACCAAATGATATTTTTTCTAATATCAAAACTACGAATGAATGCAGTTATCTATTTAAGTTTTGAGACTGAGTTTGGCATCGGATGTAAATTCCTTTATGATAGATGTAAGTAAAATTTTATTTTTATTTTTATAATAATTGTTTTATTGTTAATTATTTCACAATAACTGACTCGAAATCTTCAAAAGTGAACGATAATGAAGGAGATTGCCAAAAATATGTAACACAACCAGTAGTATCAGAATATAGTAATCTTACTCACGGTCGTCCTTTTCGTGGAAAATTTGCACCAAAAGACTTAAATTTGAGCCGTGCAAATGATCTAGGAAATCCTTTGTTTTTTCTTCTTGACATAGGAGCGCTACCCGAAGATTTTAATCGTACCGTGATGATACAGGTATTTGATTCAGGTAAGTTTTTTTATAAAGCTGATTGCAGACATTGATTATTTTTTGCTGCTTTGATAATAATATGGCAATAAATAAATAGAATTTGATCCGTGGGCTGATGATTTTGATCAAAGTAGAATGACTCCATTTGCTGAATCATTTGACTCTATGAATCTCTACGTTATACCAAGTGGAGTAGTATGTATTTGGGATTAATCATTGTTTTAAAAAGGGGGATAAATTTGCAAATTGACAATATGATTTAAAATCAATAGAGTGAACTACTTACATACTCTAGAAGAATCAGAAAAACTCTACCCGAGTCAAAATCAACTTTAATTGGTTTCCGAACACCAAAATACAATGAAGTAAAGTACCTTGAATCAGAAATACGTAAGAATGTTTATTAAAAAAAGCTTGATTGCATATTTTATCATCATACGTGTATTTTTAATCCTGATTTTATTTGTGATACGGACTAATAACCACAGAGACTATCAATAATAGCTACGCGGCATCATTTGCACTTGTAAAAGTTGGTGTACAGGACTTCAATGTGGTAGTGGAACAAGAACAAAGGTAAAAACCGCATTTTTTTATTGGAATATTATTATTATGTCCTTGCTAACACATTTGTATGCACAATTTTACAATGATAACAATGTATAATAGGATCAATTCTGTAAGTAATTTAAAGATTCGTTTTTTGGAAAAATTCGTCACACGCAAATAGTAATAGTAATAGTAATCATTCTGATTATAGTTGGTAACCGTATTAGGAACTATTTCTGGCTATTATAGTATTATTGCAACCTTTTATATCCTTTTGTTTGGTAAGTTTGACTTTTTTTTTGTTTTTTGAGTTAAATCATTCGTTACGTAATTTACTCAATTATTTCAAAAAATTCTTAGGTGCCGGTTCACTCAGTCCATGGGGTATTGTACATAACGGATGCTGGAAATTCAGACGCTTCAAAAAGGAAACCGAAGATGAACTCAAAAAGGAAGCAGATAAATTCGCGTCGGAAGTGGAGAAGGGTGGCATAGATGATGCAGCAAAAGTTAAAGAATTGGAAGTTTGGAAATTACAAATTGAAAAAGACTTTCATGCAGAAAAAATTAAAAAATTGGAAATTTGGAAATCAGAAATTGAAGAAAAACTTAAAACTTTACCAATAAATCCCAATATAACATCGCAATCAGGGCTGGAAATAGGGTCTGAAAAAAACGGAAGTTCCTCCTGAATGCTAAAAATTTTCCGGAAGTTAAAAATTTTTAAAGGAAAATCCGGATTTTTAAAGTACTATTTCCAGTCCTGATCGCAACCATAACCACAACGATATGCAAGTCCAAACAAACGAACCACTAACAAGATTTCATATTATTTATAAAATAACATCTGATATATCAATATTATTCATTATTATTATTCCTTATTTAAATAAATTTGTTTATACTATAAATTGAGCTTACGATGTCATAGGTATCTATCTGTGTGTAAATTGTACAGTGCAGGACACCTAGTCCCGCAACTTTTTATTGGTCTTGTATATCCTTTAGTACTCCAAAAATGGAAATGACACCAAAAAAACAAACCATAGTTTTGAAGCCAAGACCTTTCTCTACAAATTTACGATTTCATTTTGTTGATATGTTACGTTACCATAGAGAGACCGAGCCTCAAAGTTGCATGAGTTTACTATGTTAACCCCAAAACTGTCATGTTACACGCGATTTTTTTATACAAAAACTAGAGTATGCCGGTCACCGGGATTTTATTTTCTAGTTAAAAAATTTGGCAAGATTTTAAAATTTAATAAATAATAAATAATTGTTTTAATATACTAATATTACATTATTAATATTGTCTATAATGGTAAAGGAATTGATATTTTTCTTTTAGGCAATTGTATTCTTGGATGATTGATTGATCTGTTATAATTGCATTTTTATCAAATGAAATAATTTGAAGGTTTTCCCAAGAAGTACATCTGCTTAGTGCAACATATGCTTGACCTGGGGAAAATATTTCAGAATCTAGTGTAATTGAAATTGATTAAAGGCTTATACTTTGTGTTTTGTGAGGGCAAAAGCATTTTGTAAGGGAAATTATGTCCTGGAAGCAAATGAACCATTTAGATAAAATTTTGAAGTATATTTTGATATTTTTAAATCTATAATTCCGCCATTTATACAAAAAACAATTCTGACTAAATCTTGAGTATGATCTATATCTGCAATTACACCAAAAGTTCCATTACAAATTCCTTTTCCAACCATATTATTATTAAGGTACATTACACATGCACCTTGTTATAGAATAAAATTATGTGTAATGTATCATTCTTTTTGTTTTTCTTTAGATCTTGAACTTTTTTTATTTACATTAATTATTTCATTTGATGCTAAGTCAGAAAGTTTGATTTTTTTTTTTTGCATTTGACGATTGTACTTGTTGTTTAACAGATTGATTAGTTGGTTGACTGGGAAGTTCAGTACTTTGTTGGAGTTCAAGTTCTTGTTGAAATTGTTGTTGTGATTTCTGTTGAGGTTTAGATTGTTGAAATTCAGGTTCCTGCTGGAATTGTTGAGGTTGTTGTTGAAGTGAAGGTTGATTGTTTGTTTGATTAGTCAATTGAAGTTGTTGTTGAGTAGGTTGGTTATTAGGTAATTGATTTTGATGATTATTTTGATTAGGTAATTGTATTTGTTGTTGATTTTCTTCTTGAAGAAAAAATTCTTTAGCCAAGTTTTTTCTTTGTGGCTGATGAGAAGATGAAGATGTTGATTGAAGTTAATGTTATTAAGTTCCACAATCATATTTCTGTTAATCACAGATAAATGACCAGATATAAACAATCTAGATACATTCTTGCAACTTTTGGTAATGCTTGATAATCTTGATTCAAATGGATGGAAAATAACAATTTTAAATTGTTTATTTATTTGTTTGCTATTTTTATCTTGTCCAACATTCTCTATCATTGCAATTTCAACACTAGTTCCTTTGGTGTTAATTTTTGGTTCAATAGTAGAAAATCCCACCATGCTCACAGATAAACCTACCATGGCAAACTGTTGGCTTTATTAAATCACTTAATTTATATGCATTAGTAATAGTCACCTATGAATATATTGATGTATATTTAATATTAATTAATACTAACAATAACAATAATTTAAATATATATGTTAATAAAAAAATATTTTTATTTGCACTTAAAATGTTCTCATCATTCATATAAAATTTGCTATTGTTAATATCTGGAACATATCTTTTAATTGATTCATCTAATGGGTGATATATTGTGTATAGATATTTAATCACATCTCCTCCATCTTCATTTCTTGAGATTGCATTTCCTGTAGTTATTTTAAATTTGGTTGTGAAGTTCTGAACACAGTTTTAAATTAGTAAGATAGTTGTAAGTAGACCTGGCATTTTTGTGTAATATTATTATATTGAATCGATTGATATTTTTTTCATATAACTTTTTATTATTATATATTTATATTGATATGTAAAAATTTTTTTTTGTTTATGTTTTTTTCGTATAACTTTATTATTATTATATTTATATTGGATATGTAAAAACATTTTTTTTTTTTGTGATTATTTTCGTTTTATATTTTTATATTTGAAATATGTAAAAAACAATTTTTTTTATTATAAATACATATGATTATTTTCGATTTTCGTTTTGACTATTTTCTATAATAATAATTATTAATGTTATTATCAGTCGTAGGCAGTGTTGGAAATTCGTCGATCTTATGATCTGCAAAAAAAAATTTGTGCACATATGAACACAAGAAATTTTTATTT